GTAAGAAGCCTAAGCATACCAAAGATACTTGTTGGAAGCTTCATCCAAATCTTATACCTACCTGGATAAGGAATAAGAAGGGAAATGCAAATGTGACCACTACAGGAGACTCTTCAGCCCCTCTTTTCCAAACTGATTGGGAATCCATTGCAGTAGCAACAGTGAAAACAGAATTGAAGAGGTTTGGACAGTTTATGAGTAAGAAAGATACAACTAGTTCTAGCCTTCCAGATGGACAGCAGAGTGCAGGAACCAACTACACCACTTCTTTTGCACATACAGGTAGTTCATATGCAACAACAAATCTTGCATCCACTTCAGGTAAGGAGGGACCTCATTGGATTATAGATTCAGGAGCATCTGAGCACATGACTAATGTCCCTACCCTTTTCAGTTCCTATCAATTGTGCTCTGTAGAGACAGAATCTCTACAGTAGATGGTTCACATATTCCCATTGTTGGGAAGGGGACAGTTAGAGTAACCAATGGTATTACTTTATCTTCTATCTTACATGTCCCTAGACTTCATACCAACCTACTTTCTGTTAGTTTTTTGACAAAATTTGAATTGTTCAGTGACCTTTCTTCCTGGTAATTGTGCTTTGCAGGATCTAGAGTCAAAGAAGATGATTCGGAGTGGTCGTGAGGTGAATGGTGTCTACCTTCTAGATGAGATTCCGAGACATCAAAGCCATCATGTTAGCAGTAGCAGTAGCAGTGGGTCAGAGTCAACGAGTCAGATTATGCTTTGGCACAATTGCTTGGGACATTTTTCTTTTAGTTCATTGAAATTTTTCCAAAGTTATTTGAGTCTGTTCAGTTATCTACCTTGGAGTGTGAGAGTTGTCAGTTAGAAAAGCATTGTAGACATTCTTTTACACCAAGTAATAAAAGAAGTACTTTTGCTTTTAATATTGTTCACACTGATGTATGAGGGCCATATCATATTCCTTCCATGGGAGGATACTGTTATTTTCTCTTGTTTGTGGATGATTTTTCTTGGATATATTTGATGAGATCATGAGAGGTTCCTAACTTGGTACGACAGTTCCAAGAGATGGTTCTCACACAATTTGGAGTGAGAACTAAGGCCTTTAGATCAAATAATGTCAGAGAGTATTTTGAGAAGGACCTGGCCACATATTTCTTGGAGCATGGTATGATCCATCAGAGCAGTTGTACATATACACCGCAACAGAATGGAGTAGCTGAGAGGAAAAACAGACACATTGTGGAGGTGGCAAGAAGTCTTATGGTGTGTGCTTCAGTTCTTGTGCATTTCTGAGGAGATGCAGTTCTTACAGCCGTGCATTTGATTAACCGTGTTCCTTCACGGACTTTGGGGTTTAAGGTGCCATTTAGCCTTCTTTTTCCAGATGGAGAGATATTTCACATACCTTTGAGGGTTTTTGGTTGTGTTTCCTTTGTTCACATTCTTGGTTCCCATCGCAAGAAATTGGATCCCAAGGCCAAGAAATGTGTTTTCCTTGGGTATGCTTAGAACCAAAAGGGGTATTGCTGTTATGATCCTGTGTCAAGGAGCAAATTTGTCACTATGGATGTTACCTTTTTTGAATCCACCTTCTCGAGTGGTTCTTCTCAGGGGGAGAGTTTTGGGGAGGAGAACTTACAATCTGTTCCTTTTCCTGTTTCTTTTGTGCCTCCATTAGTTCCATCAGCACCATCAGTTTCATTGCCAGCACATCCATCAATTTCATTGCCTGAGCCACTACGAGCAGCCTCACAGAAATATCAACGCCGGCAGACGATGGTTGACTCCACACATCCTCAACCCACACCACTCTCTATCAGTCATTATGAAGCTTCAAATTCAACAAATACAATTCCAAGTATTCCCCTTGAGCCTAACCTTGTTGTGTTTTCTAGTGATAATGTTCCTGTATCTAACACCATTGTTGCAGCTGATCCCACTGACCTTGATCTTCCCATTGCACTTCGCAAAGGGAAGAGAAAGTGTACAGTCCATTGCATTTCACACCATCTTTCCTACAGTGCCTAATCACCCTCCTACTGAGCTTTCCTTTCTTCCCTAGATTTTGTGTCTATACCCAAGAATGTTATTGAGGCTCTCTCCAAACCTAAGTGGAAAACAACCATGCAAGAAGAGATGGAAGCCTTGGTTAAAAACCAAACTTGGGAAATAGTTGATCTCCCTCCAGACAAGGAGACAGTCGGATGTAGATGGGTATTCACTGTAAAGTACAGGGCCGATGGCAAGATAGAGAGGTACAAAGCAAGGTTGGTAGCAAAAGGGTATAYTCAGACCTATGGTGTTGATTATCTGGAAACCTTTGCACCGGTAGCTAAGATGAGTTCAGTTCGTATTCTTTGATCTCTGGCAGCCTATTCATGGCCCTTGTTTTAGCTTGATGTTAAAAATGCTTTCCTCAATGGTGATTTACAGGAAGAGATATATATGGACATTCCAGTAGGTTTTTATGAAAATGTTGGTAAAGGAAAGGTGCGCAAACTCAAAAAATCATTGTATGGCCTGAAACAATCACCTAGGGCTTGGTTTGACAGGTTCAGAGGGGCACTTATCCGTTTTGGGTACACTCAAACCCAATCTGATCACACCCTCTTTATAAAGAGGAGAGATGCTCTGGTGTCAATTCTGATTATGTATGTGGATGATATGGTGGTTACAGGAAATGATCTGGAGGAGATTGATGATCTCAAAAAATCATTGCAGCAAGAATTTGAGATCAAAGATCTTGATGAGCTCAAATACTTCCTGGGGATTGAAGTTGCAAGATCCAAGCATGGGATCTTCATTTCTCAGAGAAAGTATGTACTTGACTACTCATAAAAAAAAGTATGTACTTGACCTACTGCGGGAGACTGGGAAGCTGGGGAGCAAACCAACAAATACTCCTATTGATCCAAATCATAGAATTAATACTGTGGATGGTGAGCTGGTAAAAGATATGGGGAGATATCAAAGAATGGTAGGCCGATTGCTATATTTGAGTATGACATGACTAGATATTTCCTATGATGTCAGTGTTGTGAGTCGGTACATGCATGCACCTCGGGTTCAGCACTGGGAAGCTATTGAGAGAATACTTGCATATCTATAAAAACACCCTGGCAGAGGCATTCTTTTCTCAAATCATGAAATTCTGAAGCTAGAATCCTATACAGATGCAGACTAGGCATGGTACTTAGAAGGTAGGAGGTTTACATCAGGAGTGTGTACCTCTGTAGATCCATGGCTCATGGTGTCTCAAAACCTCTTTGGGTTAATATCTTTTGTGTGAGATTGGGGTGAAAGCAGAAAAACCTATGATGTTGTACTGTGACAATCAGGCTGCAATCAATACTGCCCACAATTCAATTCAGCATGGCAAGACAAAACACATTGAAGTTGATAAACACTTCATAAGAGAAAGGGTAACGGCCGGAGAAGTTTATTTGCCTTATGTCTCTTCAGAGTTGCAGTTGGCTGGTGTTCTCGCTGAAGAGGTGGCAAAGAACAAGCTTGAGCATGATCTATGCAAGTTGGGAATGTGTGACATTTACTCCCAACTTGAGGGGGAGTGTTGAAGATTAACCAGTTTTGTGTTGTTTTATGAGTAGATGTTTTATGTTAGTTGTTAGATAGGAGGTGGGGACCACAGTAGTTATGTAAGTCCAAATTTTATTATGTTTTTGAGTCTTATATATGTTGTTTTATGTTATGACGCCCCATAAGGGCATAGTTGTCTTTGTACTGCTCTTATATTTTTAGTATAAATAATAAGTGAAGGGGGCGGCCAGATCATTGCTCTCTTTTCTTTTCAAGATTTCTTCTTCTCTTCTTCTTCTTCTCTCTTCCTTCCCTCTTCAAGAAACTACTTTTTCTGTTCATATTTTTGAATTCAGCAGATTTCTACTGCAGCCATTATCAATTGGCTATCTATCTAAATGAGATTGGAATGATCTATTCTTTACGCAAATTAGAAGGATTTCTAAAGAGTTTAATTCAGTAGCCAACAAAAGTGCTTTTTCTGTGGTGAAGAGGCCTTCTTTTATGGTGAGAACTCCATACCTGAGAAAAAAATCGTACATCTTCTCATGAATAGAGTTCGATATTCTGTATTCTTAATATTATTCTGTTACCCTTAAAAGAATAAAAGGGTCCACGGTCATGAGTTCTCTAGGAGTGCCTCTCCCTCCCACAGGAGAGGGCTAGGGCCCATGGGAGCTCGTTAGGCAACCCTGTGGAAGCTGGCAGTGATTGTTTACTATCTAAATGAGTCCCCCCCCCCCCCTCACTCTCTCTAAAAAAGAAAAAACAGAAAAAACTGCATTTTCTAAATTCAAAACAGTTCAACTTAAAGTGTCAAAGAATGGAAATAGGTTTAAAGAATGGTCTAGAATTTGTAGGGAAAGTTACGATTTCAGAGAGCTTTAGAGATTGGAAAATGCTAAAAGATTCTACATATATACAAATTTTAAAAGTTGAAAAGAAATAATTTGGTATCTTGAAAAAATAGGATGAGCAAACAAAACAGGCCGCAAGGAGAGTGTGAATTGGTGAGATAGTGACGACAGTTGGTATAAAGAGGCTTTTCTAGGGCCTCTAAGAAGAAGAGGAGATTTAGGGTTTAGGAAAAGAACATCAAAACAAGCTACAATAAAAGAATACTGAAATGGGCACCACTTTGATACCCACATTGTGGCTATTCAAAGTAATGTATCAGGGCAATGAGTGCATAGAAAAAGTGGGAAACCACTAGGAAGTTCATAAAACAGTAAACACTATTAGAATAACAAAATGAAGTATCACCATAAACCATCTTGTTAATCTAAAAAGGGAGTATCAAATATTTCAAGCATAACAAAGGGAGGTAGTAGACCACTGCCAAGTTTATAAGACATTAAACATTAGGATAAGGTATAAACACCAGCTATAAAATACAGCTTTCAAAATGCCAGCATTTAGATTGATCAAAAAAAAATGCCAGCATTTAGCATTTTATGATTGGAATACTCACTTCACTATTCAGAGCAGCAGTTGCAGTGCCCCGTTCATCTGGGTCAATCGAAAGAAGAGTTTCAATCAGGGGTAATGAAGAAGGTGGAAAGTCTTTAAAAGTTTCTCTGATACAGCAGTCAAGTCGTTTCTGTAACTTAAGGAAGTCTGCATGTGGAAGTTTAGCTTTCTTCAAATATTCTTGTGATGGGGTACCACATAACTTAAAAATCTTGTGCAATTGTTCCACCTAAAAATGATCAGTATCAAATTTTAGTACGCAATGAATAAAACCAATATCATCATCATAGCAGTAGTAGTGGTGGCTGGTTATTTTTGTATTTGTATTGATGAGGATAATCAAAGTAAATTAAAAATAACGCAGCATTCATAAATAGAATTCCTGAGACAGAACATAGATGATACTGTGGTCCTTTGCTTAAAAGGAAATAGGACATAACTGTGTGTCCATGGATGTTGGGCCCTACCACTAGCAATTGTTGGGTGGGCCCATCAATCTAGACTTCCAAATAATTAGTGCTACTTTGAATGGACCAAATCCCAAAGCCTCCTGCAGCCTGACAACCATACCAGATCAATTGGGTTCCTTTGGACAGACAATAGAAGCATGCCTGTAAGGTCCAAAAATATAGCTTATTGATAAGAAAGTTAGATCATTAATAGATCAGTTATTTCAATATGTTACACCTGAGAGGTTTCAATCAAAGGAACCCCTACCAATCAGCACATACACTGCTTGTAGGGAGACAAGGTCCAACCATCCATACCATGTTGTAGTGGCAAAAAGAAAAGGATTGAACACATCTACTTCCATATGCAAGCAGTTTCATCAAGAGGTGGCGTTGGAGTGACAAACTACTAGATGAAAGAGGAGATCTTTTTTTTTTATAATTAACAGATGAAAGGGGAGATTTTTGAAAGAAAAATAAAATAAAATACCTCTGTTCGCCCTGGCATTATTGGCTTCCCAGCAAGCAACTCTGCCAAAATGCAGCCAGCACTCCAAAGGTCAACACCAACACCATAATAAGTACCTCCTAGAAGAAGTTCTGGCGGTCGATACCAAAGGGTGACAACTCGACTAGTCATGGGCCGCTTGTGGTCTGGATCATAAAAAGAAGCCAATCCAAAATCTGCTATTTTAAGAATTCCTTCATTGTCAAGAAGTAGATTTGAACCCTTGATATCACGATGCAAGACACCCTGGTTATGGCAGTGTTCAATCCCAGAAAGTAATTGCTTTATATAGCATTTGACCTGCCAGAGAAGGAGAATTTGAAGAAAACATCAGCTTCTGGATAGTATGCCAATGGTGGGCTTCCTATCTGTGTGTGGTTTGTCTCTTGAGAAATTGCCAAGCTTAAACAAGTTGAAGGTACTTAAGAGTTTGGATTTAGATAATTATCTCCAGATGGAGAAGAGATTATATCCATCCACAAAATAAATTCATAAATTAAATTTCTGAAAAATATCACCAAATCTCCAATTGACTGCAACCCCCAAAAAAATAACAGAACACATTATATGATTGCACCAAGGTGGTGGTAGGTTGGTTGAGAGATCCGGACTCGGTGATTTGGTGTTATAGAAATGAAATGAAGAAGTTTCAGTGGTTAACGCTATTAGACAGTGTATGCCCTTAGCTTCAATCAGAATGATGTACCTTATGACATTTAATGTAAATGAATAAAGTACATATTTGATTCATGTTATTATGGTGTGTTTCTGTGTAATACCCTTAAACTTGACACATATGAGACTCGTGTTAGTTTAGAATGTTCACAGCCGTTGGGCAAGTCTGGGGAGATTTATCCTACC